GGGGGGAGGATGCGTCGGAGAAGGGGTTGGGGGTAGCGGCGGTGGTGCCGATGGGTCTCTCTCTCTCTCTCTCTCTCTCTCTCTCTCTCTCTCTCTCTCCCTCTCTTGGGTGCGATGAAAGTCACACCAACCTAATGAAGACAAACGACGACGAGTTTTCAGTCGGTCTGCGCGCGCCTCCTTCGGCAAAAAGGGCGAAGCGATATGGCGCATTCATTCGAGCGAAATAGTCATTAAGACGAATAAAAGACAGTGACGAGCGTAGTCGGCAAAAGCGCAGACCGTTTGTAGGGCGAGAAAGGGAGGTGGGAGTTTCACTGCGCTTTTTAAGGTCAGAAAGGATAAAAAGATTTTCAAAAATATTTCTCAAACACAAACTTTTTCGTTTTTTTGTTTTTGTTTGGGCGCGTCAGAGGACAGTCTTTAAGTCCGTTACGTCGTCGTATGGTATTTTGCGACGCCGCCAAGGCAAACAAAGACCTCGACAAGCACGCCAAGCAGCAGCAGCAGGGTGGGGCTAGTTAGTGTGCGACACACGCTGAAACAACATTGCACTCTCTGTTGACACTCGAGGCCCACAGGGGTGTGTGCACCTCGGTGTGCACCTGATGGGGATTAAAAGGGGCGACGTTCGAGATTAAAATCGGGTGGTTAGCCGAGCGTCTGTTTTCGGGAACGGAGAGTACGTTTATTGTGATGCTCTTAACATTCGGGGAGTGTGCAGCAATGTGCCCATCCGTGTGAAGTATGTGTGTGTGTGTCGAATAATCGAAATAACTATACGTTCGCCCTGCCTGCCGCTGCCGTGTGTTCGGGGCGCTGCCGATTGACTGACCGCGCCTAAAGCCCCCGCCTCTCGCGCAACGAAATAATAATGCTTAATGGCGGAGTCGTGAAATAAACATCTCATTAACGCGTTAAAGCGGCGCTCGATAGGACCGGCCTGATTAAAAACAAACGAGGTGGTCATTCCCGTGCCAACCGATAATGGGAGCCCATCATCATGCACTGGTCCTGGTCCTCCCCGCGCTCGCTTTACCCTCTCCTCTCAAAAAGTATATTCTCAAAATGTAGAAGTATCTTGTTGTTTTGTTTTTTTTCATAATCCTTTTTTTTCTGTCAAGATTGTGGGAAAATCTAAACAAATTTTGAAAAGTTTAGAAAATGTGCACAATTTTTTTTTACGAACGTCAATGTTGTATAAGTAAACGACTAGCGAGGAAAGGTACGTCGTTGTAACACATAGCGTCAAAAAAGTTCCGACCAGAAACGGATCGTGAAAGCAGATGATACCAATTTAAGAGTAAGCTTTGTTCTACCTTTCTCCCATATTTATAAAATAATTTATATGATTTAAGAGAAACATTACAGACACTACATTTAAAAGATTGTGACCGCGCTGTATCGTCTATCACCATATCATTCGTTTTACGGCTTGTTTACAATCCAGCGTCCT